TAAAGAGTCTGCCTGCAATGTGGGAGACCCGCGTTCGATCCCTGGGTTGGGAAGATCCCCTGGAGAAGGGAATGGCAACCCACTCCAGTATTCTTGCCTGGAAAATCCCATGGATAGAGGAGCTTGGCAGACTACAGTCCACAGCATCGCAAAAAGTTGGACATGACTGAGCAACTTCACTTTCACTTTCTCTTGCATTGCTGGGTTGGATGAATCACAAGCTGGAATCAAGATTGCCAAAAGAAATATCAACAGCCTTAGATATGCAGATGATACCACTCTAATGGCACAAAGCCAAGAGGAGCTAAAGAGCCTCTTGATGAGGGTGAAAGAGGAGAGTGAAAAAGTTGGCCTCAAACTCAGCATTTAAAAAATTAAGATCATGGCATCCAGTTCCATCACTTCATGGCATATGGAAGGAGAAAAAGTAGAAGCAGTGACAGATATTATTTTCTTGGGCTCCAAAATCACTGCAGCCACAAAATTAAAGAATGCTTGCTTCTTGGAAGGAGAGCTGTGACAAACCCAGACAGCGTATTAAAAAACAGAGACATCATTTTGTCATTAGAGGTTCATATAGTCAAAGCCATGGTTTTTCCAGTAGTCATATATGGATGTGAGAGTTGGACCATAAAGAAGGCTAAGCACTGAAGAATTGATGTTTTTAAATTGTGGTGCTGTGGAAGACTCTTGAGAGTCCCTTGGACACCAAGGAGATCAAACCAGTTAACCCTAAAGGAAATCAGTCCTGAATATTCATTGGAAGGACTGATGCTAAAGCTGAAGCTCCTATACTTTGGCCATTTGATGTTAAGAGCTGAGTCATTGGAAAAGACCCTGATGCTGGGAAAGATTGAAGGCAGGAGGAGAAGGGGACGACAGAGGATGAGATGGTTGGATGGGCATCACCGACTCAATGGACATGAGTCTGAGCAAGCTTGGGGAGTCGGTGATGGACAGGGAGGCCTGGCATGCTGCAGTCCATAGGGTCACAAAGAATTGGACATGACTGAGTGACTGAACTGAATTGAACTGAAACTTAATGGGGGTAAAGAGTGAAACGAAATACAAAATAAGAATCGGGCCAAGAATAAGGTTGAATATAAGATATTCCTTCATAGCTCAGTTGGTAAAGAATCCGCCTGCAATGCAGGAGACCCCCGGTTCGATTCCTGGGTTGGGAAGATCCGCTGGAGAAGGGATAGGCTACCCATTCGAGTGGGTACCACATGGACTATACTGGGGTTTCTCTTGTGGCTCAGCTGGTAAAGAATCCACCTGCAATGCAGAAAACCTGGGTTTGATCTGTTAGGTAGTTGGAATAGGAAAAAGGAGTACAGAATGGTGGTGGCTAAAATACTAGGAAGGGAAAACCCAAGAAAAAAAACAAAGGAAGATCTGAGGACTGGAGTGAGGACCTCAGGTAGAACAAACAGCACTCCTGGCTAGCCCAATTTACATGGGTCAGGCCCAGGGGAGGAAAAAAACATAAAAAGAGGAGCCAAAGGGTAGGGGTGGGGGGTAGGGGGAGTGGGGTGGGGTGGGGGTGGGGTGGGGGGGTGGGGGATCTCTCCCTCCCTCTTTCTCTCTCTCCCCTTTCTCTCTGTCTCTCTCTCTCGCTCTTTCTCCCTCCTTCTCTCCCCCCCCCCCCACCTTCTTGTCTTTTGGGCCAGCATGCCCTTACACCTGGAGGATGTATTTTCCTTTATTTTCTAAATAAAACTGAGCTGTAACACGGAGCTGTGACACTGATCTGTCTGAGAGCTGTAACACGGTCTCTCTGAGAGCTGAGACATCATCTGTCAAAGGGCTTTAACGTCTGTTGCTTCATGTTTTTGTTGTGATGAGACAGAATGGAGGAAATTACACACTCCCCTGACAGATCCCTGGGTTGGGAAGATCCCCTGGAGAAGGGAAAAGCTACCCACTGTAGTATTCTGGCCTGGAGGATTCCATGGACTGAATAGTCCATGGGATCGCAAAGAGTAGGACACGACCGAGTGAGTTTCACTTTCATAAGATATAAAATAAAATAAAATACTACATTATTTTGGAAGATAACTACTTTAAAAGAAAAAGTAAAATACATATTTAGGAAAAAAAACCTTAAAATATTTATTGCTGAAATAAGCAAGCACAAATCCAGTTCTATAAGAAAAGGCATATATTACTACTATTAGATGAGGGCTCCAGGGCAGGAAAAAAAACTCTTGGGTAATAGTCTAGCTCTGGCTTCCCCAAAGACTTATAGGAGTTCCTCTTCTAAAGAATTCAGTCCACATGGTATTCTCTGGAAGGAGTAGTGGCATCTGTCCAGCCAGGCTGATAAATACTGAATATTGTGCATAATTATTGAACATTGTACAACACTGAATATGGTACAAGACTAGGTAAGAGGGTATGCATTGTTTGAAATCTGCTTGAAAACCTCATCTTGGCCAAAAACAACTCTCAGAAGTAAGCCAAAGATGAACCTCTCTGTGTAAAATGACAGTTGATCCAGGCAGTAGGGCATGGAAATCTGAAAGAAGCTTATCAACACACAAACAAGGAATTTTTATGCATGAAGAGATAAAAGGTGAGAGGAGACCTATGTAAATGATATGAATATACATTCACTTAGAGCATTTTTGAGAAGTTATAGTGTTTTGATCCTGTGTCTGGTTAAGGAAGCTCTTTTTATATGACAGTAAGGAAAAATAATTTCAGGTTCTGATTTGCCACTTTTTACCTTTAGTAAATCACTTGATTCTCAGTAGATCACTTTCCTCTGCAAATAAAAAGTTCTTAATGAATATTATCCTTCATACTTCATGAGGTAGTTTTTATAAAAAAATATTAAGCAATAAATTTTTATAGTATTCTCTTTACAATTATGTTTTCTATTTTATGATCAATCTTGCATTATTTTGCTTTAATATTTATTTTGTATTACATGTGTATTATTAAATTATATTTAAACTTTTTTGGGCTGTGCTGTGTAGCATGTGGGATCTTAGTTCCCAGACCAGGGATTGAACCCGTGCCCCCTGCAGTGGAAACAGGGAGTCTTAACCTCTGAGGTGCCAGGGAAGTTCTTACATTATTACACTTAAGAAACGAAAAATTGTGTCTTCCATTTACTTATGTGTCTGTGCTCTCAGGCACCCCAACTGCACGCAGCCTTAAGGCCAGAGTCCATCCGAGTCCCCCCCGAACTGAGATGACATTGAAGAGCATGCGCATAGCCTCCTACTCCACGGAACTGGGACGGCCCTAGGGTGCCTGCGCACAACCTCACTCCCCACCCCTGCCCCAATTCTCCTTCCGGCCTGCTCCCCGCCCCCCGCACATCACCCTCCCCCTTAGCACACCTGAGCCCTGATAGTCTTGGGGTATCTGTGTCCTCCCGAATTCACACCTCCTAACTAGGGCGTGGCTGATAGAAAGGCTTCCCTTTGAAGTGTTGTTTCAGAAATAAAGAAATGGTAACGATAACGATTGTTTACACACCGTAAGGATGGCGTTCAAGGACTTAAGTGGGTTGACCCACCCCGTGTAAAACCCCACAAGGGTGCAGCCACACCTAACCTCGAGTTCTCTGTGGCTCTCTGCTGATGCACCTGCGGCTTCCTCTCTTCTCTGAGACAGGAACTTTATTATTACTTGCATAAAAATCTAGATAGATAACTACATTGAAGACATTGCATGCTATTTTCCCCAAATCTTACTTCATTTTGGACAGACATGAACCATAATACATGCTAGAAAATTGGAAATTGTGTTATTTTCAGTATAGTCACATTTAACTTCTTGGTTCTAAGTCATTGTGCTGGTAAATAAACTGATGTATGTGTGTGTGCTCTGTCGTGTCCAACTCTTTGCAACCCCATGGACTATAGCCCACCAGGCTCCTCTGTCCATGGGATTTTTCCAGGCAAGAATCCTGGAGTGGGTTGCCATTCCCTGCTCCAGGGGATCTTCCTGACCCAGGGATCGGTTACCCAGCTCCTGAGTCTCCTGCATTGCTAGGTGGATTCTTTTTGTGGCTCAGCTGATAAAGAATCTGCTTGCTATGCGGGAGACCTGGGTTCAGTCCCTGGGTTGGGAAGAACCCCTGGAGAAGGGAAAGGCTGCCCACTCCAGTATTCTGGCCTGGAGAATTCCATGGACTGTATAGTCCCTGGGGTTGCAAAGACTTAGACAGGACCGAGTGACTTTCACTTTCAGTGTCACCTGGAAATAAACATTAAGATGTTTGACTGTGACTTCTCTTTCCTTGATGATAATAAAAATCTGCGAGGATCACTGAAGGGAGATAATTACCTTTAAGAACTAGAAAATATCAAGAAGAGTCTGTATAGGCTATGGTCTGAATGTTTATGTCCGCCCCCTCCCCCCTCAACATTCACAGGTTGAAAACCTAGTCTGGAGAGGAGGGTATTAGGAAGTGGTGTCATTGCGAGGGTCTTAGGTCAGGAGGGTAGATTCCTCATGTTTGGAATTAGTGCCTTGTTATAATTGATTGTTCTAATTGAGTGTGAGGGCACAGTCAGAAGCTGACATTCTGCAGTCTCAGAGAAGACTCTCCCCTAAACCCGATCATGGTCGTGGACTTCCAGCCTCCAGAACTGTGAGAAATAAATGTCTGTCGTTTTAAAGCCACCCAGACTCTCTCTCTCTGTGTTTAAAATAGCAGTCCAAAGAGAGCAAGGCAGTGTCTAAACAAACAAACCAGCAAACAGACACACACTAGCTCAAAATAAAAAGAGTGGGTTTTCCCTTTGCTAGGAATCCGTTTTCTACCGAAAACTGTCAGTCATTTTACGATTTCTCACAGACGACCAATATATCAAGATAACTAAACACATTTTAAGGATGTTTTGAAGTGGTACAACTTTATTTAAAAATTATGTGCTGGGGTAAACATGAAATTTATGAAAACTCTGATTCCTTTGAAATCCCCCTTCAGATCCAAGTGTTCAGGTCTTTTCTTGCCAGGTGACCTGCGAGACTGAAGGTCACGCAGTCATCGCCTCGGGCGGGCGCCTGCAGAGTAGGTACAGCAGGAACAGGGCGCCCATCAGGGCGGCCAGGCCCAGCTTACACCGGGTCCCCGGCCCCGCCTTGGGCCACCGCCACAGCCCGGCCAGAGGCCAGCGCCCCAGCCACGTCGGCGTGCGGGCGGCCAGTCGCTCCGCCACCCTGAGCAGCCTCTCCTCGGGGCTCAGCCCGCCCAGGGTCTGCGCCAGGCGGTACACGTCGTTGGTGTAGGGGGCGCCGCCGTGGTCCCGCACCAGCTCCTCCACCAGCCCCATCAGCTCGCCGACCTGCGCCTCGCGCTCCCCGTCGGCCGCTCGGTTGTCGAAGGCGCAGCAGCGGCCCCCGCACTCGGCCACCAGCTCCCGGAGGGCGCGGTTGTCGGTGTCGCGCACGTACTGCTGCAGCGAGCCCCGCGCCAGGTCCTCCCTGCGGGTGAAGACCACGACGGCGTGCGCCGCGACGTCCGCCCCGAAGAGCGCCTTCACCCCGCGCCAGGCCCGCAGGTCCTGGGCGGTGAAGCGGCCGAGCTGGGTCACCAGGAGCACGGCATGGGGCCCCGGAGCCGACAGCAGGTAGCAGCGGGCTCTCTCCTCGAAGCCCGGGTCTGCCTGGGCGACCTCGGGGCTGAAGAGGTCAGGGGTGTCGAGGATTTCCACGTCCCACGAGGCCCAGCGGCAGCTCCCCGTGGCGCAGGCCTGGGTCACCGCCGTGGCCGCGAGCCTGGAGAGGAAGTGCTTCCGCTGGAGGATGCTGTTGCCCGTGGCGCTCTTCCCGGTCCCCGACCTCCCAACCAGGAGGAGGCGCAGCCTGCGCTCCTGCGGGGCGGACCTGAACTCCTGGAAACCTGTGGGCACAGGTGGTCTGTAAGCTTCGGAACCTGAGAGCGACATGTCCCGGTCCCCGGGTCTCCTGGACGCCTTGCTTGCAAAGAACAGAGCGCTTCCACGGTTGTGTTTGGGGCCAAACCTTTACTGAGTGACCTGTTATGAGATTTGGGCACTCCAAGGGGGTCTCTACCCGTCTATTTCTCCCGTCTTTGGCGTCACACATGCACCTGTAGGTGCTCCAGCAGCTGCTGAACGTTTCTCTAGAGGATGAGCCTTTGTAATACAGGCCATTACTTCGTCTAATATGATCTGTCATCCAGGCTGTGCAAAGCTGGTCCCCATTGACAATTTCAGGAGCCTCTGTCTTATTTTCCCTGATTCCGACCCACTGGAGAAAGGGGTGGGGCAGTGGGCCAGGCCGGGAGGGCTATCTGGAGTCCCCTAGCCCGGGTTTGAATCATAGACCTGTCCTCTACCAGCATTGTAACCCTGCGGAACTGCTTAATCTAAGTGTTAAAACTCTTCTGCACAAACGGATTCAATACTGTAGCGCTGTCCTCATAGGCTGTTGGGAGGATAAGACCAGGCCATCTCTCTTCCCTCCCTCCTCCTCCTCTCTTCTCTCTCTTTAAACTGCTGTCTGATAACCTCCATCCGTGTTCCCTAACACCTTTTACCTGGTGAATCATGTTCCCTCTAATACAGGATCTGATGCCCTCTACGTCCCCTTCTGTTTATTCATTTTACTTTGGGAACAGAGCTGCAGGTTATCAAAGAACTTAATATCTCACAGCAGGGCGGGGGTAAAGATTCAGGTGAAGTGAATCTTTTTCAGCCCCAGGCTTCTTGCTACTTCACCCCAGCATCAAGACACCTCTGGGCTTCTCTCTGTTCAGTCTTGAATTAGCCCATCCCCGTATTACCTAGAGCTCACTCCTGGGGGCAAACACTCATTGTGAGATGTGCTCTTACCATAGGCATTTTCTTCATCCCTTGGCATCTTCCGTCCTCCCATGATCACCTGAAAGGATCCCAGACACAATTTGTTCATTCACTCATTCATCAAATAGGTGCAACTGCCTACAGTGTCAGGTCAAGTCCAAAATGTTGGTGACCCCACTGTGAGAAGGTTATAGTTTCTGCCCTCCTCTGAGTATCGGAGTTTAGGGAAGACGTTGGAGGAGCCTGGTCTGGGTTGGGATGATGCTGTGAGAACACCTGGTGAGCTTGGCTTTGTCTTCTCAGGCCCCTCAAATGCAAAGAGCAAAGGGGAGATGATAACACTTAATCCCATCCATGCCAATGAGTAAACTTTAGATGTTAATTTCTCCAGGTAATTCTATGTCAGGTGGTGCTAATGGTGAAGAATCCACCTGCCAATGCAGGAGATGCAAGAGATGCAGGTTTGATCTCTAGGTCAAGAAGATCCCCTGGAGAAGGAAATGGCAACCCACTCCAGTATTCTTGCCTGAAAAATTCCTGGACAGAGGATGCTGGCAGTTTGCAGTCCAAAGGGTCAGAAAATGTCAGACATGACTAAGAGACTGAGTACCTATGTCAGTGACGTAAGCTGTTGAAAACAAGACTTCCCAGGAGTTTCAGCAGTGAGGGTGGTGATGGAGGGTAGGCTTTGGAAAACCCCGAGAACAAGACTTTGCTCACTGACAGAGGATCTACCTTATGGTGGCTGGCCTGTGAAACAAGCAAGAAGAAAATTGGAAAACAGACGTATTTCCCAAACTCATCTGGAGAGTTTCTGCTCTTAGATAACCACATAGTTTGGCTTCTCCTTATGTATCCAAATATGGGGAGACTGGGAGGCTCCCCTCCAGCTCTTTATGTTCTGGCCCTCGAGGCTGAGGCTTCTTAAGTACAATGATTACACCCACTCAAACATCATTTAATACAATTAAACATTTTGTGATCGTTCGCCTGATCACGCAAGCTTCTGAACATGAGCCCACAGTCTCTGCTTAGTCTACTTCTCCAGCCTCATTTCCAATGAATCCCACCTCGCCTGCTCCGCCTTCACCCCTGCCCCCAGTCAGCCACTCCAGACACAGCAGATTTCAACGCCCTTTCCCAACCCACCTCGTGCTTTCCCTCCCAGGACCCTTCATCCACCCCACATTTCTGCCTGAGTCTTATCTATACTCCAACATCCATTTCAAATTCTACCTCCTCACGTCACCCACCTCTTTCCTGCAGGTAACTGTATTCAACCCCATTTGGCACCAACAGGGAAGGAAAAGCAAAGGAAGAGGCTGGGTGAATAACCCCTCTCTGGCCAAAGGACTCAGAGGGCAAGTTTGTCTAGAACCCAAGCCGAAGCTGTTGGTGTTTTTGCCATCTCTCTCCTGCTGCCCCATGCAAAGCTTTCAGTAAAGTTTACCCTGGGGCAAATCACATGATATGATTAGTTATTTTGTCTAGGCATCAACAAACTCTCATAACTGACATCAGAGCAGAAATGAAGAAAGAGCCACAAGATTCAAACCCTAAAGAAGACTAGCTAAAGCAAGAGGTCCTCACCAAAGATGGAAATGAGAAAGTGTGCTACAGGGAATCCACAGAACTCTCAAGTAGGTCACTGGGATTTCCAGATAGTTTGAAATGTGGGTTAAAATCATTTAAAATAAATTTTAAGAAGGAGATAAACTCTTCCTGAAATCTGGGGTGATAAATAGCTCTTTATTGTAAAGCATGTTGAATTTCTGTATTCTGAATACTCTGAAAATTCAAAGTTTGTGTAACTCAGTGCCTCTCAAATATGTTGTTTTTCAAAACTACTTGAATGTTCTTTAAAAATGTCGATTCTGGGGGGACCATGCTCAGAAATTCTGTGTCATGAATCCGATGTATCTGATATCATCAGTCCACACATCAGAGTTTGGAAATGAGCCGTTTATTCAGACCCCCTTCATTGTACAGACGAGGAAACAGGTGTTCCTACAGAAGGGGTGGGAGAGACTTGAATTAGGGAGCCAACGTGTCAGGGGTCATGAGGATGAGGGGTTGAAGACCTGTCAGGGGTCATGAGGACGAGGGGTTGAAGACCTGGTTCCTAACCTCTTTAGTCTCTTGAGGGTCCCTTACTGTGGACAGAGGGGAGAGGGGGAATCTGGGGTTGGGTTGAATTCTGATGGTTTCCTGACTCAGCACACTATAACTTGCTCTGAAGTTAGATTGCTTTGAGGCCACAGAAAAGATCTTTTGCCTGAACATGCAATTTGAGCAATGTTGAATGCGTTTTAAAATGCATTTTACTCCTAGACATAGTTCCAATACAGACTTTTCTTATTGTATGGGGGAAGTGTGGAAGGAGACAGACATGTGTGCCCTCCAGACTGGGGACCATGCTCATAAACCTTTTTTGAACTTCCTCTATTGGAAACTTTGAACATCTTCACAAATCCGGACACCCCATCTTAATGGATCTGGCTCTTACTCACCTGAAAGGTTCCTGGTGGAGCCTGGGTGCTCAGACAGTAAATGCTCTCAGAACCATGTTCCTTCTGGTTGGTTGTAGCTCCTGCTCCCTGCAGGGCTTGCCTTTCCTTGGGACAGCCTCTCACTGGTGATCCAAGAAGGCCCTCATCTTTGCTTTCTCTTTGGTTTTGAGTGTGGTGGGCTGTTTCCTTCCACTCTGCATAGAGGAAGTCTTTGAGACTCATAGATCCTGTGAGCCCAGAGGGAGGGTTAGGTGGTGGTGATGATTTAAAGAGACAGGAACATTCAATGTAGGCTTTAAGTATTTATCTTACAAAACCTCTCTCCTGTTGCGACTAATCTTCTGTGTTCTCCAGCAGGGCCCTGCCCGCTGCCCCACCATACCAAATATCTTGTTGTAGGACCCCAAGGTCTGGGTCTCCTTCTAGAACTGCTTAGTGATCTAATCTTCAATTACTTTTTACCATGTAGGCATTTCCCCCATATAGAAGTCCAGGGTGCTTTCTGCTCCAGAACAAAGAACATGATAGCTTTTCTCAACAGCCGACCATTGACTGGACATCCCTATGGCCGGTGCCCCTCTAGGGTCTAGTCTGTCAGCAAAATCCAGAAGCAGAGCTTTATCTGAGAAAGAATGTCTTCTCAGCTATGAAAGGACTTGAAGCTAGCCGATGTATTGAGGATGAGGATGAATTGTTGTTGCTGTTTAGTCGCTCAGTCATGTCAGACTCTTTGTGACCCCATGGACTTAGTCCGCCAGGCTCCTCTGTCCATGGGATTCTCTAGGAAAGAATATTGGAGTGTCATCCTATTTCCTCCTCCAGGGGATCTTCCCAACCCAGGGATCGAGCCTGTGTCTTCTGCATTAGCAGGTGGATTCTTTACTGCCAAGCCACCATACGTTTACACTGTTCCTAAGTTAGCATTATGTAGAGGCTTCATCTGGTCATCTGTGTTGGTATCACTGATTCCAGTTATTCTGCCTTCTCTCATGAGGGTCATGACAGTGAGGTCAATGAAAGACCCAGTGGTGTGGTGAACAGGTACCAAAGGACTGGCCCTAAAACTGGTCAGGTCACCAATCCAACTCAAGCTTTTTAGAGTTGACTGTTGCTGGATGTGGGAAAGACGACTGTCCTGAGCCCTAATCTGCTGGCTGGGACCTGCTATTTCATCTTTCTTTCCAGCCCATTTTTTCAGGTAGGAAAGAGACCCAAGGTCAACTGGTTTCCATTCTTTTTTTTTCCAGGTACAGTGTCTCTTGAAAGACTGACACCCCCCTTTTTTCCATTCAGCATTATTGAAGCCCGGAGTCTCTCATTCTCCCACTAGGCTAGCGGGGCCAGGACTAGTGTGAGGAAAGTTTGGTGTCCAGGGCACAGAGTTGAAGGAGACACACTGCCAAGGCCTCTCAAGTGCCAATACTACAGGTGAATGACCCGGGAGTGAGTATTTCCTTAAGACTGAGGTGAATATGGCTTCTTACTGGCTTCACCCTAGTCCAAACCATGTAGACCAGTGTTGACTAAGTCTTTGCTACCCAACATATACCTTTCAGGAAGATGCTTCCAGTGTTTCTTTGGCAACTCCTTGCCTTTCAGTGTTCTCATGTGGGCATGTGGAGTCTACCTTCACCACCTGTGACTTTGCCTGGGGGTTTACCTGGTTACGAGAGGGTGCTTGTAGCTCTACATCCTTCTTACATTTTCCCACCTCCCTTTTATGTGTATTGTTTGCTGCATCCTTGGAGTTTTCCTAATTATCTAGTGAGCTCATTAGTCATAAAGACTGTGTTTATTTTAATAAATTCTAGTTGCGTTTAACAGGAAGATGTTAAATGTAAAATACTGCAAATGCAAAATGCAAAATACTAGGTCCACTCTTGTCTGAAACATAAGCCTCTAATATGCTTCAGTGCTGATTGGGATTGGACACAAGGGATAAAATCTAGCTGAGCCTCTTTCGATGGACATAAAACAGACTATTGATGTGTGTGTCTATGTGTGATTCTTGAGCGTGAGTGGTTGTATCAGAGAAATATGCCATATGTCCATTTACCATCTTTGGAGGATAAAACCATAGCACGGAGTTAAAGACATGTGAGCTCAGAAACTTTACAGCTCACTTGTTAACTTACTATACCTTATAGAAATTTTATTGCCATTTTTGTTATATTCAGAAGAAATAGTGATGGTATAAAGAAGAAAAGGAGTTTTCAGGAGCATAAAACTGACTTTAGATAGAGATTTGCAAATGAGAGGAATTTTATGTTTATAACTTTCAGAAGGTTTTGGTATTATATTTCAAAACAAACAGGAAATTTTAAAATTGTTTGGTTCATTAACAAATAGGATGAGTTTAAGATCTAAACAGTTCACAGAATCTCAAACATTTAGCGATATCAGACACTGACTATCCGGGGCAGGCAACTGTAACTCATCCAGGATATGACAGTGAATGAAGAGGCACTGATCAGTAACTATGACACAGGAGTCTTGCATCCAGTCTACCGGCCTTTCTAAAAATCATCACTAATTGTTTGGGTATGACTAACAGTAAACTACAGAATAAACTGCACATACTAAAGGGTAAGCGGCAAAAGAAATCGCAAGTCTTATGCAATACACAAAATAATTGAATGAGCAATGTGGCAGACACCTGAGCACACAATACAATGCACAGCGCTGTTTGGAGTAGGGCTTTTCTCAGGCAATTTGCTTTGGCCATGATTGTACCACGTGTCTGAATTTCCATGTATTTTATAAAGCTCCCTTTGAAATCCTGCAGTCTTTGCTCTGACTGTACAGGCCCACATTCTGACTGTGTTAGAAGGTTGTACAGCCTGTTAGTGTAGTGGTCACTCCTTTCCACTGTCACCAGGCTCTCAATCGAGTCCATGAGCTCCTTCACGTGGTCATCCTGGGTGCTCCCTGTAGTGCAGTTGTCAAAGGCACACACTCACCCCCCACACGCTGCCACCAGCTCACTTAGGGCTCTGTTGTGTGAGCCTTGGATAAAATCCCTCAGGGAGCCTCCCTCGAGGTCTTCCTTGCGGGTGAAGATGACAGCTGTGTGTCTCATGGCACCCTCTCCGAAGATCTCCTTCACCCCCTGAATAGCCTGCTGGTCCTCCATGGTGAATCGGCCCAGTTTCATCACCAGGAGCAACACGTGGGGTCCTGGGGGCAGAGAGCAGGTAGCACCTGTGCACCTCTTGGTTCAGGGAGTCAGAGGGGTCCTTCCCACAAAACATATCTGGTGTGTCAATAACCACCACCTCGGTCTCTCCCCAGCTACCCCGACTCTCACTGCAAGTCTGCGTCAAGGACTGGGCACTCAACCTGGACTCAAATGCTGGCTTCCCGAGGATGCTGTTCCCTGTCACACTTTTGCCAGTTCCCGTTTCGCCCACCAGAATTCTTCTTAGCTCTGATCCTCTGGCACAGTGAACTGGGTGATTCTTTGTATAAGGTCCTGCTAAAAGCAAGTTTACTTAGAAGACAAAGACAAATACCACATGATATCGCTTATATGTGGAATCCAAAAAAAAAAGAAAAAAAGGATACAGATGAACTCATTTACAAAACAGATAGAGGGGCTTCCCTAATGGCCCAATGTAGAGGACACAGGTTCAATCCCTGGTCGGGGAACTAAGATCCCACATGCTGCAGGGCAACTAAGACCATGTGCTGCAAGAAGAGAAGACTGTGCACCTAGCAAAAGCATCGAAGAGTCCCATGTGCCACAACAAACCCAATGCAGCATAAATAAATCGTAAAAACCAGACATGGACAAACTTCTGGTTACTAAAAGGGAAAGGGGCAACGGAGGGATAAATTATGAGTTTGGGATTAAAATATACACATTACTACATATAAAATAACAAACAAGGACTACTGTAGAGCACAGGGAACTATAC